ATCACCCAGGAGACAATTTTTTTTTTTAATTCAGGAGTTTATTAAGGTTTAAAGTGGGAGTCTTAAATTAAAATTTACGGAGGTCTGTTCAGAAAAATTTCCTTCCAGCAGAGATCGAATCTCAGTGATATAACACATCACAGTCCCCAGTACATTATGATCTTTAGTGTAACTTTCACGCTGTAGTCCCTCTACATCACAGTCCCTTCTTTAAAGAGGTCTCTTTTCCCCCAACACAACGCCCCTTTTAATGCAAGCCTTCCCCTGTACAGTCCTATGGTACCTTAGGCAGGGCAGAGACACTAATCCTTCTGGGGTGTCTTCTCCTGGGCCTGACCCGCCACCGGTGTTGTCCTCATGGTGGGCAGGGTGTGGGAGCTGCCCAGGTTGTTGTGTTGGCAGGTGAGCAATTGCCTGGCTTGCTGGTGTGGGGGGGGGGGGGGGGGGGGGGGGCTCCCGCTTTCTGTCTCGAGCTTCAGAGAACAGAGGTCTTTACATGTTGACTGGCTGGGTGGTCGCTGGCTCCTGCCCTCGATCCTGATCTGCAACTCCTCGCGCCCCACCCACGAAGGGGCGGTCCTATCCAGACCGTGGCTGTGCCGCTGCTGGGTGTCCTCGTCCCGGCCTCCCACCCAGCCGGTGTCCTCATGGTGGGCAGGGTGTGGGGGGCTGCAGGTCAGGACTGGGGGGCAAGAGCTGGTGATTGCCCAGCTTGTTGGTGCGTGAGGACTTCCGCTCTCTGCAGCTCGAGGCGGGAGTCTTTTCATGTTGGAGGGCGGTCGCCCACTTGGTGACTTGGGCAGCTCCCGCCCCTTTTTGCCGATCTGCAGCTCCTCCCACCCCGCCTGCAGTGGGGCTGGCGTCGGTGGCTGGCTAAGTGGCCTGGGGGAGGATGGTGGTGTGGCTGCCGTTCAGAAGGGACTGTACCTCGGCCCAGTTCTGGACCGCCATTTAGTGACCACTGCTTTAAAAGGATAGGTTCACCTTTTGTAACATGTTACACTTCTCCTGCTAGCTATCACAATTTTTAAAGAAATGTGGCATGCGGGGCTTTGCCCTCCTGGCAGCGTCATTAATTCACAGTTCTTTTAATGGGAAACAAGTCCCGACAGATTACACTGACAGGTCGGCAGGAGACCTGCATGGAATCAGCAAACTGTTGATCACTGGTTGATCACTTTCCAGGCTTGTAAAACAATCAAAAAACACACATTTTTTTTACCTGCAAAAAAAATGTGCATTTATTTTTTGTTAAAAAGGTGAACTTATACTTTACCATACAATGCTTCAACCAATGTAACCAAATCCAATCTACTCAGACTTGTACAGAATTATTTTTGCAAACTAAAACTAAGGGGGAAACTAAATATTTGACTTCCTCTATTTACAAGAAGAAGAAAGCCAGGAAGGCCACATCCCTGAATCAAAGCACACTGAGGAACTATCGGCATTAAAGTATAGCTAACGGCAAAACATTTTTTTTTTAGTTTTAGGTATAGTGGAGACTAGAAAACCTGTTAGGTGTATTGCTGTCTGTGTCCCAGTTAGGTAGATTCACCCTCTCCATTTGTCCTGCTTACCATTATCACTGAAAGTAAAAGATAAACCCAAATTGTGGGTTGTCCCCAGAAAAGTAAGAGGGGAAATCTTCCAATGGGGACACTAGTTTTGGTGACCTGGGGGGGCTGCCTCAAGGGATTCCCTTAATTTGAAGGGATTTCCTCTAACTTCCTGTTTTAGTTATGGGACAGGAAGTAAAGGTCACTCTCCCCAGTAGGGTATAGATGGCAAGCAAAAAAAAAGAAAAAAGGAAAAAAGAAATAAGGAAAAGCTGATAGACCCTTCTTCAAGCCGGCCATACAGATTGAAAATCCAGCTCATTCAGCAGGGACCGGTCAAATTTTGATTGATGTATGGGCACCCTGGTTGTACATAAGTCAATCTATCAATCGACTTGTGTAAAAGCAGTCGGTCAGGTTTTTCCTGAATGATTAGTGCTGCCAGCCATAGGAATCCTTGTGTTCTGGCAGCAGGGAAGTATGCCCATCAGCAGAACACAACAGGGCTGTAGGAGGGATAAACCCTCCATCACTGACTGTTTTCATGGGGCATAATCTATGGTCTGCCTTACTCCATCAAAAATGAAAGAAGAAAAGGTTTGCCTATAATTCCACTTTTAACCCGGCCGTCTGCTTCAGCAGGAACTGGGTGACTAGTGGTCTTTGTGTACAGCTGATTGCTCAACTGAAGCCGGTCCAAATGACTGGAAAACCAGCATTCGATCAGCACTTGTAACCAACGGCTGCAAGTGCTGATCAGTGTATTCCAACTGGGGGGGGGGAGATCCCCCTGTCAGAATAGAATGGCTCAGTGGGAGAGATCCTAGCTTTCTACTCACCTCCATGTCCCCAATCCTAAATAATTTGCAACCTAGCTGTGTCCCACCCTCAGAGGTCTATTGGGATTTCCTGGACAATAACAGAGCAAAATCACACCAAATAATCAACACGAAGGGCAGTAGATGGTCAAAAACACCCCTATCGGCCTTCAGCCGATATGAAAACAAGCACTGATACGGGTGCCAAAAATAACCCTGCCCCCCCCACCACCCGGTGTTCTCAGCCTTACCCGAGAACCCATTCTATGATCACGGAACTGGGCATACAGATCAGTGAAGGAAAGATGGCCTCCACTCATCTCTACGCCCTTGGAGGACCAGAGTGACGTCATTTTTTTTTTTTTTTTTTTTTTAAACACACAAGATCAATGCTTTTTTTGATGTAATGTTTTACAATGTAGAGTAGAGATTGGGGGTCTTAATGACCCCATATTTCTTCATAAAGTGGACCTGTCATACTTATTTATACCACAGGGGAGGTTTGCATTTCTTTTGATAGGAATAAAAGTGATGATTTTAAAAAAAAAAAAAAAAAAAAAAAAAAAAAAAAAAAAAAAAAAATCAGGATATATTGTGGGTTTTTTTAAAATCATTAAAGTGTATTTTGTTCCAAAAAAAATGCGTTTGAAAAATATATTAATTTTTAAATACTGTCCATTTTGATTTTCGGCCACGTGCATCCTGAATTTTCAGTACCAGAATTTTCATTTCAGTGCACCACTAGTATGGATGTAATCATACACTCACACTTGGGTGGTACGATCAGATCAGCTTGATAGACACAAGCCTATCAGTAATTAGATGTGTATCCGTATGCATCTACCTCATCACCAAGTCCATCCAACGCCAGGAAAAAAAAAACAAAAAAAAAAAAACCCACACTCACTAGAAAAGATCTGTTTTTCCAGTACCTAAAACGTGATAGATTGGAGGCAGCCTGATCTCCATTTAAATACAGCCACCTGTACCTTAACCACAAGCCTACAGGGCACTTATACCCCCTTCCTGCCCAGGCCAACTTTCAGCACTATCACACTTTGAATGACAATTGTGCGGTCATGCAACACTGTACCCATATGACATTTTTATCATTTTTTTTGAGACGGATAGAGCTTTCTTTCTTAAACTAAAAATTTTGAAAAAAAAAAAAATGTTTTTTTCTTAGTTTTTGTTATAAAATTGTAAATAAGTGATTTTTCTCCTTCACTGATGTGTGCTAATGAGGTTGCAGTGGTGGGCACTGAAAGGCAGCACTCATATTGCACTGATAGGTGGCACTGATAGGTGGCATTGATGTGGCACTGGCACTGGCAGTGGCATGGATGACCACTGACAGGTGGCATGGATGGGGCTACACAAATCATCACCACAAGGCTGAGCAAATTGTTGGCGCTATAGAACTCCTGTATAATAATCGTAATCAGGGCACACTAATGATCAGTGCACATGTTCCCCTCCAAGGAATGCCGATTACCGGCTCTCCTCTCGAGCTGTCAGCGTGACAGCTTGTGAGGAGAGAAATGCCGATAACCAGCATTTCCATATTTACATGCGATCAGCTGTGATTGGACACAGCTGATCACATGACCCAGCCGACATCTTCGGCTCTTTCCATTGATTGGTGATCCGCTGTGTCCAAGGGACACTCCTGGAGCCACGCATGTGCGGCGGTTAGAATGGGACGACGTCATATGACATAGTCTCAGAACGAGAGAACCACCTTGCGCCTGTCATTGTATTATATGGCGGGCAGGAGGTGGTTAAAGAGGAGTCCAGAAAGCACTGATGGGAAAATGCAGACCAAAAACAGTTAGCATAATGGGCACAGAAGCGCCGTGTGTCCTGCTCTGCTCCTATTAGACCCCGGTCACACCGAGTGCGGCTTGTGAATCGCATGACAAGTCACACCCTATTGTGTGCAATTACAGCGGTCATATCTGTGCGATTCGACTTGGTTGGAGCAGCACCAATTTCTAAAGTAGTACATGCACTACATCAGGTGCGACCTGCATACACATTGGTGTCTTGCAAGTCGCAGATGTCTTGCAAGTCCCGCCTCAAGTCAGAATACTATCAGCCAGTTGCCACCGATTAAAATCCTGATGCGATATCCATAGATTTGCACAATTTTCCAAGGGGGATCAGTGTGACTGGGGTGTAAATATCTGGCAAATTGGTTGGCTGCAGCTGATCTTTTCTGATGGACCAAATATCTGTGTCAGAGGAATGACTATAAGACAGATCACAATCACTTCCAATAGAGCTTTTCCATCTATTGCACTATGGATATCACACCAGGATTTTAATCAATGGCAACTGGCTGTCTGATCACTGGAAGATCGATCACAAATTGTTATGTGTATGACCTCCAGATATGGGGGAGGGGGGAGATACAAATCAGAGACCTGGGGAGTGAGATCAGAAGGGCCGGTGTGATGAAGTCTCCAGTGTCGGGGTGCTCGGAGAGCTGGGACTGGGAGGAGTTTATATAGTAAACAGAAAAGTCTCAGAACTTCACAACTTGTTTTGCGGCGTCCCCCTTTGAGCTGGGAGGTGTCACAGCCCCCCGTGTACACAGAAATCCTCATCCTCCTTCACTCACCGACACCCTCCGCGGCGGCCGCAGCCAACAGACACAGGAACACACAAACACAGCGAAGCACGTCCATCTTCCTCCGCGATCTACTCCCTGACCGAGAGCACAGGGCACGTGATACACCCTTACAATCCCGCCTATTGGTGACGGTCCTATTTACTCCGCCCACTGTAACTTTTCTCACCGCCCTCCTAATCGGCTTTTATGTAAACAGAGAGGAGTGGCTGTAGGGCGTGGCCGAGGGAGATGAGTGGGCGCTGCTTGAGCAGACACGTGACTGGAAGAGGCGAGGGGTCTCTGAGGGCGAGGAGGTAGTCAGTTGGCTCATCTTCAAAAGTCTTTATTATTCAAACACTCTGCTTTATTGTTATTTATATACACTCTGTTAGGTACACCTTGCTAGTTCCGGGTTGGACTCCCTTTTTCCTTCAGAACTGCCTCCATTCTTTATGGCATAGATTCAACAAGGTGTTGGAAACGGGCAGACTGACAACTCATGGGGCCCCCGGGCAATAGGGGATTATGGGGCCCCTGTGTCCTCACCCACACCCAAAAAAGCCAATGAAAGGTACCAGGGGCATCTCATGGGGCCCTTACTGACCCCGGGTCCTTGGGCAGTGCCCGAGTGCTCGAATGGTCTGTTCGCCCCTGGTTGGAGACATTCCTTTAGAGATTTTGGTCCATAATGACGTGATATCACACAGTTGCTGCAGATTTGTTGGCTGCACATCCATGATGTGAATCTCCCATTCCACCACATCTCAAAGGTGCTCTATTGGATTGAGATCTGGTGACTGTGGAGGCTATTGGAGTACAGTGAACTCATCGTCATGTTCAAGAAACCAGTTTGGGATGATCTGAGCTTCATGACAAGGTGCTGGAAGTAGTCATCAGAAGATGGGTACACTGTAGTCATAAAGGGATGGACATGGTCAGCAACAATACTCAGGTGGGCCATGATGTTTAAACTTTGCTCAGTTGGTACTAAGGGGCCCAAAGTGTGCCAAGAAAATATCCTCCACACCGCTACACCACCACCAGCCTGAACCGTTGATACAAGGCAGGATGGATCCATGCTTTCATGTTGTATACGCCAAATTATGACCCTGCCATCTGAATGTCACAGCTGAAATCAAGACTTATCAGACCAGGCAACGTTTTTCCAATCTTCTATTGTCCAATTTTGGTGAGCCTCTGCGAATTGTAGCCTCCGTTTCCTGTTCTTAGCTGACTGGAGTTGCACCCGGAGTGGTCCTCTGCTGCTGTAGCCCATCTGCTTCAAGGTTCAACATGTGCATTCAGAGATGGTATTCTGCATACCTTGGTTGGTTATTTGAGTTACTGTTGCCTTTCTATCATCTCAAACCAGCCTGCCCATTCTCTGACATCAAAAAGGCATTTTTGTCCACACAACTGCCGCTCACTGGATATTTTCTTTTTTTCAGACCATTCTCTGTAAACCCTAGAGAGGGTTGTGCGTGAAAATCAGTAGATCAGCAGTTTTTTAAATACTCAGACCAGCCTGTATGGCACCAACCTTGCCACATTCAAAGTCACTAAAATCCCCTTTCTTCCCCATTCTGATGCTCGGTTTGAACTCCAGCAAGTTGTCTTCACCACATCTAGATTCCTAAATGCATTGAGTTGCTGCCATGTCATTGGCTAATTAGCAATTTGTGCTACCAAGCAATTGAACAGGTGTACCTAATAAAGAGGCCGGTGAGTGTGTGTATTCACTGTTTCAGTATTCAAAAACCGAACAAATATACCTAATTTGGAAAAGTTTGGAATTAAAGATAATATCTATGTATCTGTCTATCTTCCCTTGTTCTTTCTCTGACCCATCATTTTGGCTTGAGGCGTAAAGTAGCCTTACCTCTTCCTTACATTGAAGGACACAACGGAGGTACGTTAGACTTGACTATTCGGTTATAGTGCCATCTGCAGGAGTGGGACACAAGGCAGAAAACAAAGAAATAGGTAGCTAAATCTGCTAAAGGCAGCTCAGTTATTTTGACAAGCATCAAGGAGTAAAGACCTAAGCTCCTTCCTTGAAATCTTAGTTCTTTCTTTTGTTAGATAATGAGTTTATGTGAAATCTCCATTAAACACTGTAAATAATATTGTAATTATGAATATATTTCAATTAGAGCCGTATCAGTCTGGGTGTGCAATATGTCTTCCCATAAATTCCTGTTCTATAGATACCATGGTTGCCAAAGGGAATATTCTATTAATTACACCTTCTTTACTGTATAACAGAAGTCTTTGCTGAGAATCCTCTTTCAGACAGTTCAGTGCCAGTTAGTTTATCTAACAATGGGACAAAATCTGTTGGCTTCACACATATGCCCTTCAAAGGATACCTCATTTAGATATGCAATGAAGGTGGCCAGCCGTTCATAAATACTTAGTTTCCCAGGAAAAGGTCATGAACTCGCATGCTTAAATTCCGTAAAGGGTGGGCCAAGATTTGCCTTAAAGAGGGTTGGTGTATGCTAAATACAAGGGATTTGAAGTTAGCCAACTATGAAAGGGAATAGATTTGCCAACCAATCAGAGATACTCCATGGAAGTTAATGGAGGAGAGGACTATAACTATAGACACTAGATAGAGACTCTCTCTTTAGAACCCCAGGGACATCCAGTTCAATGGTAATTATGGAATATATCCCTTGCACTTATATCTAAATGTTTGTCTTATGTCTTTTCTATCTCACTGTTTGTATTTTGTAATATGTTCAAGCTTTCTTAACCACTTTCCATCCGGCCGTTGTATATATATACGACAGGACGGTGGCAGTGCAGGGGTGGGTGGCCGTTTATAAACGGCCTCCTCACCCCCTGCTTGTGCATGCTCCCTGGGAGCGCGGAGTACCGCAATCCGGTGCCTGCTGTGTCCACCAGCCACAGTGGAACACTGATTGTTGTACGGGACCTCTGTGCGAGGTCCCAGTCATGTGATCACTGATTGGCCAATCAGTGATCACATGAAAAGTAGTAAGCAAGATGTCACTTCTGACATCATTGCTTACTACTAGTGAAATCTGTGAATGATCACAGAGGTCACATGGTACAAGGCCATTCACAACAGCCTTGTACAATGTGACAAGCTGTGACCAATCACAGCTCACACAGTATTTCTCAATGGCTGCAAGATTGCAGAGGATGGGAGAGTTCCAGAGGATGGGGGAAGCTCTGGAGAAGTCCTGGAGACGAGTATGGGAGGAGGAGACAAGGGAGGTAGAGAGCAGAAGGTCGTGCGGGGAACGGAGAGGACAGTTTGCGTGATATTTGGAGACAAGATCGGTGATGTAATTTGGGGCAGAGTTATAAATAGCTTTATATGTTATTGTTAATGTTTTTAATTTTTATCCATTGGGCAATGGGAAGCCAGTGGAGGGATTGGCAGAGGGGTGGCAGATACAGAATGGTTAGTAAGGTGGATGAGTCTGGCAGCAGCATTCATGATAGACTGAAGAGGGTATAGCCTGCGATGAGGTAGGCCAATGAGGAGGGAGTTACTATAGTCAAGGCGAGAGATAATCAGGGATTGAATAAGTTGCTTAGTAGTGTCAGAGGTTAGGAACGGGCGTATCTTGGAGATGTTGCGAGGTAAAGTCTACAAGATTTGGACAGCGATTGGATTTGGGCTGAAAGGACAGATGGGAGTTTAGGATTACACTTAGTACCCTAAAATGAGGGGAGAGACTGATGGTTGCATTATTGATCTTGATGGAGAAGTCAGGGGAGTGGGCACGGGCTGGAGGGAACAGTATGAGCTCAGTTTTGGAAAGATTGAGTTTGAGGAAGTGGAGTGACATCCATGCCGATATGTCACTTAGTAGGTTAGTAATGTGAGAGGAGACTGAAGGGATGAGGTGAGGGGTAGAAAGATAGATTTGTGTGTCATCAGCATAGAGATGGTACTTAAAGCCATGAGAGTTTATCATGTGACCAAGGGAGGAGGTGTAGATGGAGAAGAGAAGGGGTCCAAGGACAGAACCTTGAGGGACCCCTACAGAAAGAGGAAGTGGAGAGGAGGAGACAGAGTTATAGGTAACACTGAAGGAGGGCTGCGATAGGTTGGAGGAGAACCAGGAAAGATCAGAGTCTTGGAGGCCAAGAGAGTGGAGTTTGTTGAGGAGGAGGGGATGGTCAACAGTATCAAAAGCCGCAGAGAGGTCAAGTAGTAAAAGTTCGGAGTAGTGGCCATTGGTTTTAGCAGTTAGTAGATCATTAGTGAGTTTTAGTAGGGCAGTTTCAGTGTCATCAGTTTGAGCCCGTGAAGCGCATGCTGGTTGAACCACTTGCGAGTAAAAATGCAAGCTGTATTCTTTGTTTCTCTGTTTTAAAGTGAGTGTAATGATTTAGTCCATTGATTTAATAAAAAACAGAACACTAAAGACACTGTGATGACCTTTTGGTACATATAACTGCCTGAATATTGATGACTGCATACTGAGAGTGATACCCACCTACATCCAAGCTGCGGAGTCTCCAGAACAGTACCAACAAAAGCAGAGTGAGGAGCCCAGGAGGATGGAGTGAAGGTTCCAGGAGAGATACCACTTGAAAGCTGGTCATTGACTATTAGGCTTATTGCAGGGGGTCATTACCTTCCAAAGAGTGTGAGAGCACTTGAGGGGGGTCACAGAGCACACAAGAGCACATGGTCACTTTATGGGTGAAGTTATACCACCAAGTACTTTGTTGATGATTAAGCAAGAGAGTGAATTATATTTGGTGGATACATTAGGCATTCATAAGGACTTATTGAGTTAAAGTGTTACTAAACCCAGGACCCTGCATTCACTATAATCGGTCTCCCACAGTACACAGAACATGGAAATGTAATTATTTTAGTAAATATAAACTTCTAAATACCTTTTCTCATCAGCAGCTAGAGCAGTTTTGTGACTTCTATCAGTATAAAGTCGAGCACATGTTAAAGCTTGTAGGAGGAGTTTTCATTTTGCTTTATGAATATGTAGAACCCTTGACCTCTGTCTGGACAACTCTTATTGGCCCTGTGCTGATCACATGCATTCTCCCAAGAAAAAAAAAAACCTC